CAGTACGCAAATGCTAATCATACGGCATTTAAATACAATCAAATATGGCAGTACTGCAAAATATGTTTCTAACAATATATTTGACAGTTTAGTTGTTGAAATTAAAAAATTGTTGCAAACATTAATTCAGTAATATTTTGATGAAAAGAAAATTATCCAGCAGTTATATTTAATATTATTATGCTAAAATATATTCTTTTCAAGCATAATACATTAGCTAAGAAGCTCATTTGTAAATGAAACAAAGCAAAACAGTAACTTATTTAATTTTCTGTTTTTCTGCAATTTGCGTCACTCTGCTCTTTTCACAAAATGTTAAGTCTCGGATTGTTCAATTTGCAAAAATAACTTATACTTTATTACACTTTTAAAAGTTTTACGGACTTTCATTCTGTCATTAATAATTTTTGTTTTTTGTGAAGTTAAAACTAACACAAATTGTACTAATAAATCAAGCGAAAAACCCACCGTCAAGTGAATGAATTTATACAAATCATTTGTCATTTTTGATCAAGCAAGTCTGAGGGATATTTTTGACACGGTATCATTTATTTTCTAATTCGGTAGGTATTCTTAAAATACTCAAAATGACATAAAACTGATATGGTAGCATTATCTCTTATCTCTCATGAAATTTGTTTTATATCTATAATAAATATCAGTGTCAGTGGCGCAAAGGTCATGACCAAACTGCATTTTTGATATCAATTTTGCAACAGTGAGAAGAAAATGGATTACATGTCCTTTGAGAGTATTATTTTGAAGATAACAAAATCCAATTTACTTCGCAAAGATCGTGAACTTCTATACTTCATTTTTAGTAAATAACAAATCGGTACATCATCAGCTTCGTATGGCCTAATAATTTGATATTCAGATATTTGCATAGTTGCTTCTGCAATAATTGCTAACCAAAAAGGAAAATAGCAAGTCTAATAGATGATGATTCTTTTCAAGAACAATATACTTCTGATTTTGTATGCACTGATTTGAGATGTCACATGCTATTATTGAACAATAATTATTGACGCTTCTTTTGAACTTTTAAAAGGCATACTAAAAGCAATTAGGTCTACCTCATTGACAGCATTCTTTATAACATTATTAATACTTTGAATTTAGATAATTTAAGTAAATAAGGCAATTTGGATAATTCTAACTTCCTAGAAAACTAAGAGTAAGCTAGGTAGATTGAATAAATCCGGCTGATAATTAGTTTCAGAAGAAAAGTCCGATTCTGATTTTTGTTCCTACTTTATGTGCTGAAACATTTCATGCCTGAAAATCCATCCATCCATTCATTATTTTACTTAGCATTGCACTTACAGCAACTTCATTTTTTATTAAATAAGAAATTAATTGTTGTCAAATAATTGAATTTATTTTATTTTTGTACATAACATATTGCTGTTATTCTCTGCTCTTTTATTCATTATAATATCACTGTCCCTTGTATGCAATTGATAGAGATAAATAAGTAAGTCAGTGCAAAATGTTAAATTATAAAATATATTCCTTCTGTACTACAAAAACTATTTTCAGATTCTCTGAGAGCATCAGAATTGTGAATGTATAATTATCGTGCATCAAGTAAATTCACCACTATTAGTATATGAATGCTTCGACTGCAGCGCAAATGGTTTTATTTTTGAATAGTACTGCAATTATTGCTTGCAAATGAATTAAAACTGAAGGGCAATGCTTATTTTTGTAACTGTTAACTTTGACTATTTCATGAAAAGTCATTTTCACAAGGAGGAAAAAATTGCAAGCATAATCATTTTTAAACTGAAATTTGTCCAAAACATATAAAATTGGTTAGTGTGTTTTGTTTTGGTTATATTTTGTGTAATTTAATACTTAGTATTGCACAATTAAGAAAAAATCAGGCAATAATCGAGAGTGCTACACAATTAAGAAGTCCAGCAATTGTTGCTAGAAAAAATTAAGACTGATATAAGGAGCAGTCAATTTGGAGTTAAAAAGTTTGATAAATAATCAACAATGAGTAATAATCTATCCTCGGGAATTTCATGGACAGTAAATGCATACTTTACACCGAACCGTATGGCAGCTACTGACAATTCATTTCTTCAAACCATTTCAACCAATATGTAAGTTTGCTTTTACTAAAAATTTGCATAATTAATCTTTACTTTATTTTTTTTTTGTTCTTTGTTGTTGTATAATAGTCAATCTATGCCTTCGAAATTTAAATTTGCTTTCAAGAATGCGTACATATCTTCCGGATGTAGGATTAGGGTCACATTCTACAAATACACTTTTTATTGCACGAAAGATATTTGCTGCCATTTTTGTGATATGTAATTTTTTCTTGTTAATTTTTGCTTGTTAATCATGATTACGATGAGTTTTTAATGAAATAAAACTCAAAATGTCTTCAACTTCAGTTTATCTTAAATTTGTACCTAAATAACCTCACGTCACAAGTGATGTACACTTTTAATTATAAAATATCGTTTACACTGCTAAAATCATTTCTGATATTTTGCTTAAAAACCTATGATATGCTTTGCTTAGCAGAGAACAATACCAAACTGCTAAATGCTATCCTTTCAGGCTGTGTTACTGCTGACAACCTAATTTCATGTGCAAGATTTAGTCTAATGCAGAACCCTGATAATCATTCATCAATTTATCATTAATTAATTAATTAATTAATTGACTGATTAATTAAGTAATTAATTCCACCAATTACTTTCATTGGTGCTTTACAATTGCTTGAAATTTCGTTGTAAAGTTATGTACATTGCTTTCAATAAATGCTTTTATTCGTTCTGTATTTAAAGTTTATTTTTGAGTAATTCTTTGTATTCTTATCACTTTAATTAAATTTTCAAATGTACATAACTTTATTTCAGCTACTAATAAAAAAGTCAAACGTTAGTTCTAAAAGAACAAACGCTGAATAACTAAGACTAAAATATATGCAAGCAAGTAGCACCTAGTTTGAATGATTGAAAGCTGATAGAAATGAAGACTAAAAATGAAGCAGCGGAAACAGAGCAGTTTCCAACCACCACAAATCATTTATTTGAATTTGTAAACTCTATCATACATTCAATCTTTTACTATTTGCTCACATTTTACTTGCAAAATTCAAAGTTAACAATACAAAATTTTCTTCTGAATTTTTCTGTCTTACTTTTCATCATTTAATACTTAAAAAATTTTTTATCTCTTTTCTGTGTTACTTTATTTTGACAAATATTTCAAACTTTCATACATTTTTTCATGTAAATTTTTTGCTCAAAATTCATCGCATTTTAATAATACTCTTTTTATTCAATGATATTTACAAAGATTATTAATTATTCTACTTTCGAAACCTTACCATAGACGTCCCAGCTATTGTTAGCCAGCATCATATTGAATAATTTTCAAAAATACAATTTGAATTAAATGAAATGTGGAAGAATCATAATTTAAATATTTTTAAAGTTTTAAACAATAATTATCACAACTAGTACTATTTATTAAGAATAAAATGTAGAAGCTGTTTAACTGTTACTTACTTATTTGTATTTTGAGTTGTAAATTCTTGCTCTTTGGTTATGAAGCACACTTGCACGTCAATGCTTTGTTTAATTCTATTCAATTTATTATTACTTTACTTACTGAATAATTTATTACTTCAAAAAGTTTTGCTAAAAAACGTCAACGCATCAGTGAATGATGTTGGAGAGTCTTAATGTGACTGCAGAAAAAAGAATCGTTGTAATATGGCAACTCTTGAAATTCATTAGAATTCATTAAATTAATAAAATCCATTATTTGACCACAAATTTGACTTTGAATGTTCCTTACCTCAAGCAGAATATTCCTTTTTCTTAGAAATTTTCAGTAATACTGAAGATATTAATTACAGTATTAATGACAGTTATTATTATTATATTATAAAAATCCTTTATATTATTCCATATTAGTTAAATTATTAAATTATAATAATAATAGTACTAATTATAATCATAATTAAATAATAAATATTATTATTAAAATTAGTAAATTTTAGTGATTTGTTTTAGCAATAGTAATTTCAGCAGTAATATAAGCGACAGTACATGAAGTATGCATTAGTGATAGAAGTATTATTATAATTCCAATGAAAAACGTATTTTGCTAATAAGTGCTCTCAATGATAGAAATAATTATTAATATGCAAATGAGTTTGGTATAACTTCCCCTCATTTGACTAAAAGTTTACGGTATAAAAGAAAGTAGTAATCTGAATTGGTAATTCAGATTAGACAGCTTGAAATAATTTCTATTAAAAGTGTTCAATTCTTTGTGATAAATGTTACTATTAAATGTTTTCATCTTAATTGTTGAAAGATGAAAGTAAGAGTATATTTTAAGAAAACCTTCTTGAATCTGGCATTTTGTGTGAGAAATACAGCATGAATCAAATAAATATATCTGGAAAACCCTCTCTGAAGGGGAAGCATTCTAAAATGAAATATCTCACAGCTTTGAAGAACTAACTTTGTTATACGCAAAAGAATTTAGCCTTTTTTGAACTAAAATTGATGTAAGCAGCGGATTCCCTTCTGCTTACATCAATTTTAGAATGTTTTCCTTTCAGAATATTTTTCTTGTCAGACAATCTTTCACTCTCTAGAGAGTTTCTTTGCTTGAAACGAAGACAAAAGTTGACAAAAATTAAAGTTAAAAATAAAATTAATACCACTTGTGTAGATTTTTGTTCGCAAAAATAAATAAAAAGCGATTTAATTGAGTAATTTCGTGGCACTTCCTTATTTTGACTATTTTTAGTAAAAAAGAAATGTGTAAATATAAAAGTTGATGCGGGTGATACTATTTAAACTTTTAGCAATTAATTAAAAGAGTAAGTATCAAAAGTAATTCAAATTTTGACAATACTGGGATTACTATTTTGAAAGTATTTGACAAATTGTTCTGAAATGCAAATCAAGCAGTTCAAAGCAATTGTTGCTTCTTGATAAATAAGTCTTACAATTTGTTCGACGATTGTTTTGTCAAGACGTTGCTTCTCTATGGCTCCTTTTATGGTCTTCTTAAACGGGAATGATCTCAGAAACAAGTATATACTGTTACATGGATTTCATGAATGCATTGCTTTTAAATCATTGTTTTTTGGCTCTAGCAACGAAAGTAAATCTACTGATAAGAAAAATAAACTTATTCTCAATGCTTGTTTCAGGTTGAATAATGCATCACCTTTCTTATCATCCTCAATATCATCATCATTAATATCGTCAACAGTGACACTACCATTACTCTCAACTACACAATCATCATTTTCAACATTCTCTTCATCACTATTACCAGCAATATTGAAGTCACCACTTTCAACACCATCATCAACATTGCAATCAACATCGTTTTCACCGTCTGTGTCCGGAAATGAGATGAAAGTTATGCTTGAAGATGACTGCCGATTCAGACCAACTATCGAAAATTACATTACAATTGCTTCATTTTGCATTATTTTCTGCTTATCTGTTGTTGGCAATGCAGTTGTTATTATCGTCATTCTACAGGTCAACTATTGTATTCAATTTATCAGAATGTCACAGTAATGTTTTTAAAAATTTTCATTCGAAGAGCTAAAAATGATGAATAATTTTTGTTTTAACTGATTTAAGTAATATTTTCTTTTCAAAATTATAACTCTCAGTTATGATTAATAAAATAATATTCAGCAACGTTCAATGCGATCAGTCACAAATATTTACTTATTAAATTTGGCGATAACAGATCTGATGCTATCTCTCGTTTGTATGCCACCGACACTTATTAGTTCGGTAATTTACTGTTGGATATTTGGTGATCTCTTATGTAAACTTTTCGCTTATTTGCAACGTACGTTCACTTTTATACTTTTTTTTTACGTGGCAATATCAAACATGTGCAAGTTTTATTTACTTTCAACAAATGATTATAATTCATTTTATACAGCTTTAAAGTTTTTAAATTTACTTTGCACTCAGTTTAAAATTCTCATAAAAATCGAAGTTTCATTTTCAATAAAAAACTTTTTTAACTATTTCATGCTTTTCAAGTTTTAAAAACTGAATTTGATAAAATTTCTTAATTAATTAAATTAATTGATTATGATTTGATATAAATTATGGCTATCAGTAATGATTAATAAAATGATATTTATCGACGCTCAATGTGATCAGATAATAATTGCGCTCTCAGATAATAAATGCAATTTTTCAAGCAGAATTTAAGTTCAAAACCTACATTGTTAATCTTATAAAAAATCAAACGATTTAGTCTTTGGAGAAGAAAATATTATTCAGTAATTTATAATATATCATATTTGTTTAACAACTATAAATTCTTAGTTATGGAGAAAACGAAAATTTATTGTTGTTGACGTACTTATATGAATGGTATTGCATTTACAAAGTAATACTCGGAGAAAAAAACGTTTTAGAAATTCAAAAAACAATCAAGCCTTTACAAAGAGTTAAATATAATACATATTTTTTAATGTTTAAATTTCAATCGTTTTGCAAAGACTGAACGATATAAAATCTAAAAATTAATTTAATGTCACGCAAAATTTTTTTAAAAAGCTTCAGTGTTTTTTTGGATTTAATAAGCCATTCATACTGATTAATTATTGAGTATGAAAAAGTTCAAAAACTCTAAGGATAACAGTATAACAGTTAATAGTAAAATATTTAATATTAATAATAATAATAATAACGGTAATAACAATAGTAGTATTATCGATATAATTATTAATTGCCAAAGATCTTAATGTTTGATGGACAAAAGTTGTAGCATTTATAGTAAATGATGATATATTTTCTGAGTAATATGTGAGTAAATTTGCAGCAGTCGTGGTGACAGCGTCAGCTTATACTTTAGCGCTGATCGCGTTTGAACGATATTATGCCATATGTAAGCCACTTCATTCACGTATATGGCATACTCGTTCGCACGCTTACGTGATGATAACTTTAGTATGGGTAATTTCTGTACTCGCTAATTTACTTATGTTGTTTATGTTTGAGCAGCAGACTTACAACGTCAATGGCTTGACTTGCGCGCCAAGACATCAACCCATCCTCCATTTTTACTACCAGGTTTCCTGTTAAGTGACTTATAACGTAAATACAGCAATTTTCATCCACTCATTTGCTTTTCACAAAATTAACCTCAAAATATTTCAGATTTATATGACCTCAGTATTATTACTGATTCCTCTTTGCATAATGGTTCTTTTGTATGGATCAGTAATTCATTCTCTCAGAAATGGCATGAAAATGGATTATGTTTCTAGTGCCATATATAATAGTAAGTGCTTGTTTCTTTACTTATGAATCGCAATTTATTTATCAGCCATATTTAATCAAAATTTTTGAATTCTCTGAAAACTATTTGATTTATTTATTTTGATTTTAATTAAGCCAATTTGGTTAACTTATGAGCAAATGCATGCATCAACAAGATGTAAACTGAGCAACAATTTCACAGCTTTAATTGTTCTTTTGCATAACTCAGCGAAAAAGTGATTCATTTTCATTGTTATTCATTCAATAAATTGCTTTCAGAAATAAATTTTATTCCATTGTGCTTTCTAATCCATTTAAGAAACGTTTCATTCTTTTAAACAACTCAAAATAGTAACTCAAAATAAAATTGGAAATGAAAAACACTCTCTAATAGATTATTTTCGATATATCACATTCAGTCATGCAGTGAATAACTTGATCTATGCATTCATTAGCTAAGCCAAGAGCAGAGATATTAAGCTTTTGTGAACAGTGTACAGCTTGCATCAACTGTACTCCACTAATTTCATCTAACTTATGTTTTTTGCAGTTCTTTCAGATACAAATGACTAACCTTCAAAATAAAATCTTTATAAAAGTAAGGTAGATACATATAGTATAAGAGTGTATACATGCATGTATACATTTTTATACCATATTTATGCACCTTACCTTTTTTTAAAATAAAATTTCCGCTGATACATATCGGTCATTGAAAGAAATTAATGTTTTATGACGTACAACTTTTTCTTTAGATATTCAATATTGAGATATAATTTGTTTTCCCACACAACTGTCTAAGTTTTATTTTTCTAGATAATACGTCCACCTTGGGAAAGCACAATGAACAATTACAACAAAAACAGTGTAATACTCAATCAGCAAGCATTTCAGAAACAGTTCACAGCTCAAACAGCAACAATCGAAAGTAATAATTCGGGCAGCATTTATTTGCATACAATCTTAGTAGAGCGTAACTGCAAAAGTAGCTATTTTATGACGATTTCTATGCTAACGTTAAAATTTGCATCTTACTTACTTAGAGCACTTTGAGGCATTATTAACAATTGTATTTGCAATTGCCAATCTGTTAATAGTTTAAAAATTAATAAAAATTAAATTATACTTAATGAAACTTCAGTTCAGTTGCATTCGTCAAGCCCAATTACCTGCATTGTTTTCATGCTTCTCGCAAAGTTCTGCGATCAAATTCTCAATCATCAACGCTCAACTCTACGCGGGAGCCGCTTAGAATCTTCCTTAGTAAAAACAGTCTACGATCTACTTACAGGTGAAAGTATTGCATCATTAACTACTACTTTCAGGAACTAATTCAAAAATAGAAAATATAGATACTGGAAATTGTAATTGAATACAATTCTACTTCGTACACAATAATCTGTTCTTTTTTGTCTGAACAATTTTTTTGTATAAGTTAACACTCTTGTACCATATTTATCTACCTCAGTTTAGTTTTAATAAAATTTCCACAGTGCTTTTGCTTCCATTTTACACTAGGGAAATGTTTTTTCTAAATTTTCATTTGAAGTGTGAGAAGAGTTTTAGAGTAGGCAAAAACAAATGTCAAGTTCAATTTTATACAAACAAATGTTAAATTTTTTATTAAAATATTACGAAGGTATGTTTTGCATATCGTTGGAAAGAATAATGGTAGTAAAAATCATTATTATTATTATTATTATTATTATAGAAAAAACTACTCCAATGGTAATTCCAAATCTTGGATAAATAATAATTTTCAATTCCCAAAAATTATGTATTTGAACGACAAAGCTATCTCTCAGAGATTTTAATTTATTTATTTGACATACATTTTCAAATCAAGAAAATTGTCAACTAATATGTATTTATCTTATGGCTGAAAACATATTACAGTGAACGGTCATTTATGGCAAAGCAGCGCATGATCAAAATGCTTATCGTTATTGTAATCATATTTTTTTGCTGTTGGACACCAAATTATATGTGGTGGTTGTTGTTGACAGCTCAGGATTCTTTCAAGGTTACACTTCCTTTTTACGGTGTAAAATTGTTGATGAATGCTCTGAAGGACTGAATTTTAAACGTTGTGCTTTCAAAGTTAACGAAATTATCAATGAAATAGAGTCTGTTTAAGTCAAACTTCATTTTGACAATTGTTCTACGATTTTTAGTCAAGTTACAACCATCACTTTCGTGTATACTCATCACGTCATTACTCTCACTTCAGTCCTTGATTCTTTCAAGACTGCTTATATTTGAAAAAGAAAATACAAGGCCTCGTAATTAGCCTATATGTAAAAATGATACTTGATAAGACTGATCCTTAGTAAGACGGAAATTACACAATATTTCTATATGGATAAGATAGTGAAATGGTACTACATTTGTGGCTTAATACCAGCTTATAACAAAAATATAAGGCTTTTAATGATAATTTTGCAGACTTTTGATATTTGGAACTCACAAGTGAACACAGCCATCACTGTACTGTGCTATATCTCATCATGTGCCAACCCCATCACTTACTGCTTTTTAAATAAAAAATTTCGTGCTGCCCTTCTGGTAACTTTTGGCTCTAAACGGAAAAACCCGAACCAATTTCGGACACTCTATATGCCTGAAATGCCCATGACAGACACACCAACACACACACACAACATTGAAAATCAAGTATTGTATTAGCTTCTTACAACACAAAAACTTATGTCTATATTTATGTCTACATATACGCAACAATAATTACTGCCCTAATTGTAAGCTACTAAAATATATATATATATTTTCTTTAATAGCTGTTTTTTTAATTAACAGACCAAGGCAATCTATGCGTTATATTTTAGTAGCTTACAATTCGTTCGTTTATATATATATATATATATATATATATATA